AATGTGCTGTAACAAACTGCCTTTTGAGTTTGTTAACAAACCAAATATGTTAACAGAAAAGTTTCAGCACGTTCTTTTTCAGTCCACACTGAAGAATGTGTGTATTTTTGTCCTCTAACTTTAACAGATCAGACAGGTTTGTATTGTCACATGATGATGTGCAACATGCCTTTTCATTTTACAGACATAAACACCACAAAGAAGTCAATATCTGTGAAAAGGTTCACTTATATAAAGACACAATATTTTAATGCCAGATATAAATTACAAATCTGGATACGAGATAACCTTTTGATTTATTTATAAAACTTTTTAGATGAATGAAGATCTATTTTATTTATTTTATTAAACAGTTGGCGTTTAAACTAAATATTTGGCATTTTGACACTGTTGACACTACTTCAGCTGCCCCGACCCACTTTCTGAAATGTTGAAATGTTTACAGTTATTGGGTTATCTGCAGCAGTCACATTGCTCTATGCATTTGTGTGTGTGTGTGTGTCCAACAAAGCAACACAAAAACAACCAAATAAACAGCAGTCAAACCTGGGAACACAGTAACTGTTAGGGACAAGTCTAATCACCTCAGCAGCAGCTCCAACAGTCCCCATCTCTCGCTTTCTCTCTCTCCCTCTCTCTCTGTTTATGTGTGTTGTGTTCACCTCTCTTACCCTCCTATCTCTGCACCCTCAGTCTGTCTTTCCACATGGCAGGAGTCTATCTGCTCAATCTGTGTGTTCTGGGCTTGTGTGAGCATTTTCATTCACATGCATTTTGTGACTGTGAGTCAATAGGTGCACATAGGTCATATTGTAGGTCATATTTATGTGGCTGCAGACAAACTTGGATGTTTTGAGCAGCGGTCCTGCACCTTTGCCTCTGTCATACACACCTAATATTAGTGATTATAGTGATATTTACATGAATAATGATGAATTAACATATTATATTATGTGGGCAGATGTAGATTGTGATTGTGAACCAAATGTGTTGCCTGGAACATTAAATAAACCTGGCTTTATGGTGTTTGGTCCCACATACATCATCCCCTTTGTTTTTGTTCACATTGGCGTCTGCAAGATAAAACCTCCAGTATCTCAGCTCAGGCAAATTTTTATGTGTACATCCTGGTACTATTGTATTAGTGCCTTATTAATATTGGCTGACAAGCTGGCAGATCTCTGCTGGGTTGTTTGTTGTTGGCACTCTTATTTTGTTTACCCCAGAAATGTGTCAAAATCTCTGCTGTCTGTTACAGAAGTTGTTTAGTTGCTGAGATAACGTTCAGAAATGTATGCGGCAGCGTACAAGATAGATAGCATTTTTTTATAATGAATTTCCTACTGTTAAGTGTTGAGCAACTTTCAGAGCACTAGTTTGACATTTTGGGAAATATGTTTATTCACCTTCTTCCCAAGAGTTAGGTGAGAAGATTGATAGCTCAATTTAGAAAAGAGACAATCAAAGAAATCCCGCCTTTTGTTCTTACTTCTCTCCAAAGCCACTCCTCTAAAACATAATGCACACTGCAACACGTAATGTCAGACTACTACTGATTTCAGGACAATAACAAATCTGCCCTCCCAAACAAAACAAAACCAATAATTACCTAATTACTCTCTCAATTGTCACCATCAATCAAACGCCACACCAATGTTGATTCTGGTTTTACTTCTTATAGCATTCACTTTCTTTTTAGTCATGACTTTCTCGAATACGGTTTCCGTTTGTGACCAAAAGCTGCTGTGGGCACCTTCTCTGCCATAGCTCACTAACTTTAGCTAGAAAAACAGATCAGTAACATGTCTGCCTGCCTGGCCTTCTGGGAGACTTTTGGCTCGTGTAAAGATGCTGTGCACACAAGTAGGAATTAGGTTGACCATTCAGTAGTTTTTCTTGGACTAAGTAAAATTACTTCTCAGGCTTTTTCAGCCCTGCTGCTGCCACAGGGGACATTAAATTTATTCATTGCCATCAGGATGAACAGAGAAATTCAAGAAATGTAACAAAAAATGCTTCTGAAATAAATCGCCAACCCGACCTTCAACGCATGGATATAAGAACGATGTGGATCTTCTCATCTAACTTTCCACAAAAATGTGAAAAACTTTTTCCTAAGATGTCAGTCTATCCTTTATTTATTTATTTGCAGTGTCTTGACTCTGATTTTGAACACATAACTTTGGTTCTTGGTCAACGTCTTTCTGGAACATAATTAAAATACACACAGAAAGAAGACAAACTATGGATTCACAAAAGTATCGCCCTGTTTCGAACCTTGTTTTTGTTTTTCTCTCTCTTTTCATCACTCCCCTTTGTCTCTGCCCCCAACTTCTCTCATCTTGGATGGGTAGTGTAGTTATCAGGCCTGGCCAGCCTAGCCCAGCCCTCCTACCTGACCGCTGCCAGCAGGGAGCGGCTGCTCTCGCCTGAGTATCTCTGACCACAACAGCACCCAGGGAATGAGGAAATCAGGCTAGAGTAATCTATGCAGGCCCAGCGTGTGAGCACACGGGGAGTGTGCGCTTAGGTAGGGTGCACGCGCGTGTTCAGGAGCCCGCCACTTCAGCAACATCCTGCTATAAATCTATTGTGACATGTCAAACTGAATTTATGAGCCAATCTTCTTGCAACAGACATGTTTGAAAGGGAAAAGGGAAAGGATGATGGAATAAAAAATGTAGCAGTGAGAGTAAACTTCTGCTTTGGCATTTAGAGCTGAGTATTTCAGTAAACAGTTAACATGTGAAAACAATGAAAAGAAACCTCTTTTTAAAATGTTTTACAGTTTGTGTCAAAACATATTCCAATAAATTCTAAATGTAATCAGGTCTGGAGCTCCTTCAAAAAGGAGCTTTAAAAAAGCTGTTTACTAATTACACGCTTCATCCAAAACTCGTGTCCTTTTCGACTTATCTTACTTCACTACAAAGTCTTTACATCCTTGTTGCCATGGCATCCCTGGACCAAAAGCCAAACTGGTAGCACGGCATCCTTTGTCATCTCTTTTATTCAGAATTTTGCCTTCTACCATTATAAGAAAGTGTGTCCTTATTTAACTTGAGCAATTGTTTTTATCACAGTTTCAGCTTTTTGCTGGTTCATATAGTAGTATTAATTAACAGATCTAAGGCTTTTATTCTCCTATACTATTATAATTTACTTTAATGTATATAAAGAATGCAGTTTGTGTTATTTTAGTGTCTGCCTTCTTTTTGAGAACAATAAGTCTTGTACCTGAAATGAACTTGAAAACCCCTGACAAACACCACCAGCAGTATGGCTGCATTGTAAGCCAATGTTTTGATGATATTGTGCACTATCACACTCTCCTGTTGCTGATTGCTGTGCTGCACTGTTGATGATAACACAATCCTCGTGTACGCTTGAATTTTCTCTCTTGATAAAATGAGCAAACAATAAGGAGCTGGGAGCTCCATGGTCCAGTCAATAAGGTCGTGTTTTCCTCCTGCTGGTCTCAGTTTGAATCCTAAAACGCCCTGACATCAAGTCACCCTCTTCACACTGCAGGATGTTGTGTCTTACACTATCCATCTGGGTTTGTATTGTTTTCGTCGATACACCACTACCCCTTCACACTCACACACAGGCAGCTGCCTTGTCTCCCTCAGTGGAAGCAGGTGTCTGTGAGTCTCGTGGGGTTTGGGGCATTTTTTTTCTCAGTGTGGTAGAAGATGGTGAAATTCCCAGTATAAAAGTCTGCTTCTTTCTCTGGCCTCTTTCCACAAGATACCAAAGATACCCCCTCCCCCACACACAGACACACACACATACACACACACTTTACATTTGCTTACAGGTAATTTTAAAACATCCTCTGAATTCACAACATCAAACCTTCACTCATCTCTTTTCTGTCTGCTTACACCATTGTGGTTACAATACTTAAACCATGTTGTATATATACAGATATATGAATATGATTATGTGTTACTTAAAGGTGCAATAAGCATGCATGCACCCTGAGGAAACTATTTCTGGTTACTTCTGCCTTACATTACAGTTCCTGTTAGCTATGCTCATCATGATAAATTCATCTCTGTTTATGTGTCCCTCAGAGACTACAACTTGAGAAGAGAATCTATATTTGAGGGCAATGTGGTGGAGTAGAGTGAGGTGGGGGTGCAGGTGGTGAGAAATTGTAGGTGTGTGTGTGTGCGTGTGTGGTGGTGGTGGGTGTGTGTAAATATAGCTCCTGGTCTGAGTCTGGGCCCCTTGGCTTTCATGGCCTCACAGGAAACAAAGTCTCCTCATGAGACTGAATGTGCTGAATGTGGAGCTCATACATGTGTGCATGTGCTTAGAGTTGTGTAACTCTCAAGCTCAGTGTAAGGGAGTAGAGGACCATCAAGAGAATCAAATTTTGGTTTTTGGTGGAACGTGTATGAGTGGTCCCCCTTATCCACAAAACAAAGGGAACAGTTGGAGACATTTGCTTATTCCCTTCACTAGCTGATAAAACTATACACAGTAATTGGCAAGGGAATGTTTTGCGATATGTTCCACACAACCTTATGATAACAAGCCTTTGTATCTACGGGATTTGTGTATGCGTGTGTGAGAGTGGGTGGGTGGGATAAGAGAGGGTGGAGTATTTGAATACTAAAATCGCCACAGAAATTTGAATACTAGAGATAGTTTTTTTTTTACATTGGAGACACCAGAGAGCAGAATAGTTCATTTAGTTCAAACAGAGGAATCACACCAGATGACAATGTGGCTTCCTAGTGCTATTTAGACTTGTAACCTAAACCACTGCAGGCTGATGTACTAAAGTTAAAACAAATAAAAGCATATTTACATTAATATAAGTTAATGTTAATTTTCTTAAGGAACAGCTTTTAATTTGCTGATACTATGTTATGTTCCCCAAATCAGACTGAACACAAAACTGTAATAAAACAACACACTTTATTTACTAGGCAGTATAGAAAAGTAAAAAAACATGAAAACTTGGCAAGTATAAATGCTTTAATAAAATTATTTTTGCTCGAAAGCTAGTATAAAAACAAGGCATAAAATGTAAAAAATGACTGTCTACTGAGTGTTTGTCACGAGTCTTAGTATGAAAATGAAATGCTGGTTGAATATGCAATATAAAATGATACAAAACTACTTAAAGAAATGCTTACAAATGAGCACACAAACATTTTAATAGGGCTTTTGTTTGTATCATAATATAAAATATCAGTGTTTAGTACTCTTGTTTTCTTATGGAAAATATTAAATTCAAGCACAGCTTGGTCTTACTCTTACAGGGCGAATGCTCATGTTTCAAACATATAAGCTCAATGAATTTTTTAATGTACACACACAACTGCTTGTTCTTTGAATGGATACTGTAAAGGCCAGAAATAAATTTAAGGCTGACATGTAGTAATAAAGTAATACTAATAAGACCGGCCCCCTCCTGTTGTGTAAAACATAGTTCACAGATGAATAACGTAAATGTAAGAACAGATGCGGCTGTTCTTGTTCAGTAGTTAAGTGTTCACAAAAGGTGACAGAAACACTTGAAATTCTCAGTAGACCCATTATATCCTGTTAAAAAATGAGAGGTCAGTTTTGAATTCATTAATATGCTTTTGGATATATGATAATGCTAAAAGGGCTTAAATACTTAACTTACAACACTGCTCCATTGGCCAATTGTAAAAAAAAAAACACAATGTTATCATGAAAATAACAGAAATAAATTAATCAACTTGTTCTTTATATTAATATCAAAATTCAGAAATAATAATACAGCCCAATGCAAATGATATAGCTACCATACCCCGTTTATAATACAACATTGATAATAATACAAGACCAGAAGTGATAAGACAAACATTTATAAAAACCCAAAGCAAGTTCTATATTAAAAAAAAAAATTACAAAGAAAACAATTATAGTCTTTGGTTGGTCGAAATCCAACAAGTGTAAGTGTAAAAACACCAGTGGCATAAAGCCTCTCCCAACTGTTGTACCACAACAAATATGAAAGCTGCCGCGCTGCATCTAGCGCAGGGAATGTTGATGTTTCCAGATCAACATAAGTCTATGTGTCTACATGACCATTGTCCTCGTAGGATAAGTGTTGATGTACTTGTGGCTCTGCTCTGAGGCCAAAACATGCTCCTCTATTTTCCCACATGTCACCTGCTCCCAGGAACTGAGCTGCTGTTGTTGAACGAAAGAGAGGATGACGAGGTTTTATGGTTAACATGCAATTGCTGTGTTTTTATCAATTTATGTAAGTAAATCCAGATATGCTAACTTATACACACCTGTAGTGGGCTGCCCATGCCTCTGCGAGGGAGGTGGTAGGCTTTGTGTCCCTCTTCACTCAATAATGAGCTCGTAAGTAGGCCCTGAATTAAAATGTTACAAACACACAGTATGTTAACAACCTAAGTTAAGCTAGTATACATTAAATGGCACAGAAAGCAGAGGGAGGGGTGTCTTCCAATAATTTCAAGGATGGATTCACACTTGAGAACATACAACATGTGGTGTCAAAGGTCAACTTACAGGTACTTCCTGTGCGGATCCATTGGGAGAGAAGAGCTGTGTGTGAAGATCTTGTCCTTCCCATTGCATACACGGGCTTCTCTCGCATGGGGACTCCACCTAGGACCCAAAACACACAAGGGTCACATAATGTACACAATGATTAAGAATCATGGAAACTTGACTTCCTTGACTTCAGTGACTTCCACTTATTCCTCAAGCAGATCAAGAGTGTGTTGCAAAACTGCAAAAGCTCAAATAATTCACCCACACTCAATGCCACAACTGCAAACTGAAGTTAGACTCCACTTTTCACCCGCATCTTTGCTTTGCCAACATAAAAACTAAAACTTCTTATCTCAGTCTCACATTTGTCTGAATGGTTTTGCATATGTGTACAGGTTTATGTTGTACCTCTTGTTTGATCTTTTTCAGAGGAGGCTGCTCAATGGCACACTCCATCGGCTCCTGCTTAATAGACTCCACCATCTGCTGCTCCAGAGGGGTGTTCTGGAAAAGACACAAATCCCCTAGTGAGTCACATGAACACTATAGCAAGCACAACAGTGGTTAACATGACTAATTCAAGCCTTGAGATATTCTTTGGCTTCTGTCTCACCAGTAGTTTGATGGGTCCATACTTGGCTTCCTGCAGGGCCAGGACAGACCTGAAAGGTGTGGGTGTGCGAGGTGTTGACTCCAGGATCGAACGACGAATGTTTGGAGTTCTGAACCTGAGAGAAGACAAGACAGCTGTTTGTAAAGCCTCACTGACACCAAACCTGCACAACTAAACAGATTAAGGATAGAGGCACTCACATCGCATTCTCTTTCTGAGGCCTGAGAGAGTGGTCGATCAGGGGCTTGGAGTCCACAGGCGAGCTCATGGGTAAACTGTCGTTGTCTGAGTGTTCTGGGCTCACTGACTGGTTGAGAAACTGTGAAACAAAAAGAGGGAACCCGATCAATCAAAGAGAGGACAGGTTGACTTTTTGGCAGTAACAGTTTTGAAGATGATTGAAGTACAGAACAGAGAGGGAAGGAGAAACGAGGGCCGCTGCTTCAAAAGATGAGGTATAGATCGAATGAAGTAAAACACTAACGTGAAACCTAACAGGAGAAGCTCTAATCATGAGGATTGGTTGTTGATGTCATCAGATGACAGATTGGAGGGATTCTGATCACCTGCAGCTACTTGAACTACCTGTGAGGGTGAAAAGGGGAGGTTTCTGACTGGAGAAGATTTGGGAGTTGAACCAGTGAAACCAGCCATTGCTCCATGAACAGCTCTAGATCCCTGACTGGGCAAGACCCTGTCTGTTTTGAGAACACTCCTATTGAAGAACCCATTGGTAGTGGCCTCAGCCACTGAGGAGAGGCTCTGGGAAAAGGGTGGGAAAATATGGGTCAAGACCCACTAATGGGACCAGTCTATGATGCTAATTGCTAAGCTATCTGTTTTCACACTGTTGGTGATGGCACACAGAAATGAACAAACTAAACTATATTTTTTAATATGACTGCAGATACTCACAGAATCAATGACAGATTCCATGAACTCTGGAATAGTATTTGAGAACGTCGGGCTGCTGTGATGACTGTTGCTGTTGTTGTTACTGTTGCTGCTGTTGTTGCTGTGGGCACGTGTTGCAGAGGCGCTCTCCTCAGGTAGGCAGCTCTGGTCATGAAGGGCAGGAGCGGCTGCCTGGTGATGAGGTAACGACATAGCAACACCCTCTGAGCTGCCAGTCAAAGAGCTCTGGCTGACCCAGCTCGGATAGGGCAAATTCATCTGTGGGAGAAAAGGATATAAGGATGAATCATCTGAAAATGATACAGCCAGTGTAAAAAAGTGTCAACCTAGCACAAGAGAGAAAATGCAAGCCTGACAATAAGGGAAGAGGTGTAAAAACTGAACAAAAAGAAAAAGAGAAGAAGAAAGGGAACTTTAATATAAAGGGTGACAGAAGTGTTGAGTACATGGTTGCACAAGGGGTCGTGCACATGCACAAAAATGGTGATAAGGTCCTATTTCGTCACTTTTTCAGAAACAGACCCCCCAGATGTTTCCTCCTCTTTATTCCCACAAACACACATGTCCAACCACTGTCCTTAAACCCAGGGTCAAATGCACATGCACATAAATTGAGCTGTCACACTTTCAAACTTTCACACTCACTCACACCCAAAGTTACGCAGACACACACAACTCACTGGTAGTGATGGTTGGCCTATCAGCTCATTTTCTGTTGACATGAGCAGCAGTTCAATCTCTTTCACCCTCTTCTCCTTCTCGGGGTCCTCCTCACTATAGTGTCTCTGGGAGAGGGAGGCAGATTTTAGCGCCAATTGAGTCCTGTCCATTTTCTTGTCTTTACATTCCTCCTCCTGCCTCACTATTCAGTTATATTGTGTTTTACCTGTATAGCAGCAGTTCCAAGCTGGGGAATGTTCAGCATGTTCAAATGCAAGGCCATGGGGAAAGGCATCTGTTAAACCAATCAGAAACCAGTCCACATGAAGTGAATGAACCTCTTGCAGCTACACAATCAGCATAATTCAGTTTTCTCACCAGAATCCAAAGTCTTAGTTCAAAGCCCACTCACTCTGTGTGTGTCGGACATGTACGTGTAGTTGACAGGTGACAACGGAGGCAACTGCACATGACTGGGCGAGTTGTGGAAGATGTGATTAGCCGTCTTGATGTAGTTGATGGAGAGTGACGAGTTGCCGTTCTTTGCCGTGCTCTGCAGGTAGCCCTCCTGTTCCACCTTTCGCCTCATGGTGGAGTTCCAGTGATTCTTTATAGCATTGTCAGTCCTGCGTGTCATGAATAACACATTAACTTACAGGTTATTCATTACAGAATGCCCACAAACACACAAAATGCAAAGGCATGGTGAACCTCTAGTGGCACTTGATAGCCTTATCAAAACAGACATACACACAGACTGACACAGATAGTCAGAAAGTCTCAGTCGCACATACACTTACATACGCACATACAAAATTGATAAGGCTATCAGTACAGCACAATTACAATCATGTCAAAACTGCAGTATCTTTTTTGCTTCATTTCCTTTGTTCCTTTATCACTTGATTCTGTGCCTTTTCTCTGTACAAACCATGCCGTCCTGACACTGTCTTGTGAACTTTTTTCCTCCCAAGGAAATAACTATATTCCTGTCCATTCCTATCTTGCAAAACAAGGGAAACACCTTCTGTATTCAGACCTCCATGGTTTCTCATGTTCTATGTGCTTTTTCATTAAGTTCTTCTCTTTTCACTCCTCCTTCAGCAACCTCCCCTCCATTTCACCCTCAACCGCAACATTGCGCAGCTGACCAACAAGAGTTCAGTGATTCATCTATCTTCTCTTTTTTTCCACCTTTCTCTCATCTTCATTCTCTGCCTCACCTGCCAGGGAGCAGCTTAGCAATTTCGGCCCAGCGGTTGCCCAGCTTCTCATGTGCCTGGTAGATGATTCGGTCCTCCTCCTCAGTCCATGATGTCTTTTTCACCTCCGGGTTCAGGTGGTTGTGCCAGCGCTCGCGGCACTGCTTGCCAATTCGCCCCTTCAGATGCTTGGCGATCACGGACCAGCGCTTGGCTCCATACTTATGGACCAGCTCAATCACCTGTGGTGGACATGTGTTTGTGTGTGTGGGGGGGACAGAGAAAAGAGGAAAGTAGAGAGGGGAGGAGGAAGAGTGTTGAAAAGGAAGAGAAGTGAATGAAAGTGGAGGGGCATGAGGAAAGAGGAAGGTAGAAGCAATAACAGGGAGGAGAGGGAGAAGTAGAGGGGTACACAGTGAGAAATGTAACAAGGTATAGAGGTAAACAGTAAATGGGAGGTAGAATAGATGTGATATCACAAGATAAGGGAGACAAAATGAAAGTAAACACTTGTTAGTCTAACAGAAAAAAATCTCAGAAACTCATATACTGTATCACTGAATGCTTCCTAACTCCTTCGTTGCCCCCTCCTTGTCTTTATCTCTCAACCTGAGGAGGTGACTGAGAACACCTGCTGGGAGTTTCCACCGGCACGTTAGCCACTCTGCTAATCATTACATTGGCATCTGGGTGGAAATATAACTCCTTTGAACTAGTTCAATAAATACTTCACAGGTTGGAATATACTGAACATGTTGGTTGTTGAGTAACAACAACTAAAAATGTGCAACCTAGGAATTGCTACAGAATAGTTGCTTTAATCACACAGGCACATAAGTAATTGTTTTTTTTTTCACCCTGAATGACACCTGACTGCCTGTCCCCTGCAAGTAGTATCCAGCTATGTTACTCAAAACAAAACCAATGTAACAAAGGTCACTGATGGCTGTGGGAACAGAAGCATCTTCATACAGCTATAACAATAACAATGTCAACATTGTTTCTAGATGTGCAGTATTGTGCAAAATGCATTACTCCCACACTATTTCACGTGTGACCCATAAAGTACT